GATTACATAGGTATACAGACTTATAACTGTTTTCACAGGATTTTAGCTGAATAGTCCCAAGTTACTTGGTTACCTTGAATAAAAAATACATGAATTACTCTGTTTAGCTAAGCCAACTCCGAAAAGCTCACATCATCACATCTTATACGATCAGTAATACAATTTAAACGTCTTTATAGAGATTAGCATTGAATGTTTTGAAAAGGCTCGCCGTTGGCAGCCTTTGCTACCAATCTTGGGCATTCTTCCTCGAAGTCCATCTGAGCTTAGTGGAGGACGTGACTCATACACTTGGAATGTCTCCCTGCGACCACCTCAAAAGTACATCACAAATGGTGGTCTACCAGCCTCCTTCACCATTCTCTTTAGCGAGAGCCTTACAGCTGCAAAATCGAGGCAGGGCCGATGCTACAATATTCCTCTACGCCTTTGGATGCCTCCCAAAATGTACCTGACTGTCCACCTGCCCAAGCCTGGTCTAGTTATTCGACGTTCCCCTTCGCCACCCCTACACTCCTCAGCCTCCTCATCGCGAACATCTGCGCTGCAGCACAAACATTCAACCTTGGTGACAGTGTCGTCGAGTCCAATCTCTCCACCCACCAACACCCAGAAATCCCCAATGTACACTCCCTACGCAATGCGGTTTTTTCGCTCATCTTCGCGTAGGGCCACAAGTCGGTCGGAGAGCTCCCACCATTCCACAGAAAGGGAGTCAATCTCGACAAAAAACCCTCAAGAGTCATCTCTAAGGGTAGAGAGAGCATTAGACTCAGGGGTGAACCACAGCGCTGTTTCAGATATAACCCATGGGCTAGGTGCAGTGGTGGTGGCGGAAGAACTTCTGCCCCAAGGTCGGGCCCAAACGCTCCGTGACGAACAGAAGGAATTAAACGAAACAAATGATGATCATGTGGCTGTCGTACCTCATAACAATCTTGATGTGAAAAAACAACATCAAGTGACTACGAGTAAACATGAATTTGCAGGTGAAAAGAACAAAGGCTCAAATGAATCTAACACTCTGCTACGGCTAATTCAAGACGGTGCATTTAAATGGGCAAAAAAAAGTACTGTAGTAAGGACTCTGCCCATGGGAGTGGAAATGCCAACTGAGATTCACATTGTGACTTCGAATAACAATTCATCGGTGTCAACACACGCAACACCCAGGAGGCGGAAGTTGAAGAAGAACCATAACGACAGTTGCTCTGTGAGGATTCCTCCACTGGTGCCCGAATATGTACTCACGCCAATTGCACCTGACATAATGCCACCGCTTCCTCCACTCGTTCTAGCAGCGACGTTACTGACCGAAATTCAAAATGAAGAACCTGAAGAAAATACGGCAAACAATGTCAATGAATTTCTCGACCCGTCCGATGTGGGATAATAACCTGAGTATTATCCAGGTACACCATGCAAAAAGAGGGAAACTTGTGCGCGTATGAATAGTTAATTCCCTCTTCTAGGGAGCACACCATTATCAATATGAAGTGGTTACCTAAGGCCGAGATAAAGATAATTTTTACGATCAAAATGAGCTACTAATAATGATCAATTTTGATTTTAGGGAGAAAATCTGAACTGTCGATCACATTGATTCAATTTTTAGTTTGTAAAGATAGTTTAAATTTTCCATTAAAATTCCTCGAACGATATTTTCCTTTTATGAAACCTCGCCGATGAACAAATTCGAATGTCCGTTCCTATGTCGTGATTTTTGTGTGGACGGTGTACCGTCCCGAGACCTCTTGGTCCACAGGCCAGACCACGTGCACAAGGACCAGACACATCCTAAAGTGACCGCCAAACGCCATGTGGTTACAAAAAACAAAGTATCACAGGTGGTATACAGTTAAGTTTATCTTGCCTCAATGATCGTAGGCGTAAAAAGAAAACGTGATAAAGTCAGTCATTCTTGGA